GTAGACATTCTTCAACTTCTAAAAGAAAGCGTTTCCTTGAGACCTTATTTGTACTAGAGTTTGTTTTGGATTCTATTCGTTGATGAACTGAGGTTTTTGCATTTTTTTCTCCCCTTAACCTCCCTTTACCTCTACTGTTATTACAGACATGGCGAGGGTAATTCTTCTCAGTTGAAAATAAACCTTCAGATTTGAGCTCCCTCTTAAAATGAAGAAGAGAAGGTTTGCCCCGATGTCCGATTACACATATTATCCTCCTATTTAATTTTCTTTTGCTGAGTCAAGGAGATTCGACATAAAGTGGTTTTCTTATTGCTAGTTTTAAAAGGGAACTTTGTTGTGTCAGAAGAGGTCAACTCTTTTTATCCCTCCAAGGAATTATTATCTTTATGGTTCAAACAGAAGGAATTGGGGCTGATCAAACTTAATTTGGAAGGGAAAGCCTTTTAAAGTAACAAACAAAACAAAAAACTCTAACAGTTTTGAGCGTAAGCCCTTTGAAATCGTCAGTGAAATAAGTCCATGATTTGGTTAAGTATGTATAATTCAAGGACAACTTAATTTGCAGAGAAAGTTATCTAACTTTGATGTTTACAGCGTTGTTGTTGTGGATCAGCCTTTTGGGTAATTCTGGGTGATTTTAATGGCATTAGATTGGATTCAATTAGATCCAAAGGGAGAGGCACAAATGAGGTGAGACTGGAACGTCTGGCACAAGGAGGCCATTCTGAGAACACAGGATCTGAAAAGAGGTGCCTGTGCTTCAGGGGAACGAGGCAAGGGTTCCTGGTCCCAACTACCCACGTTGCGAGGCTGCAGTTCCTGAGGCCTTCAGGATTCTGTATCACTGCAGCAGCATGCTGTTGTCAGAAGCGTTTGAACCAGAGTAACTCCATCTTGAATAGGGCCTGGGTAAAATGAGGCTGAGACCCACTGGGCTGCATTTTCAGATGGTTAGGCATTCCACAGCACAGGATGAGATAGGAGGTCGGCACAAAATCCAGGTCATAAAGACCTTGCTGATTAAACACCTTGCAGTAAAGTAGCCTGCCAAAATCCACCAAAACCAAGATGGCGACGAGAGTGACCTCTGGTTATCCTCAGTGCTACACTTCCACCAGCACCATAACAGTTTGTAGATGCCATGGCAACATCAGGAAGTTACCCTGTATGGTCTAAAAGGGAGGCGTGAATAATCCATCTCTTGTTTAGCATATCATCAAGAAATAACCATAAAAATGGGCAAGCAACAGCCCTTGGGGCTACTCTGTCTATGGAGTAGCCATTCTTTATTTCTTTACTTTCCTAATAAACTTGTTTTCACTTTACTCTGTGGACTTGCCCTGAATTCTTTCTTTCACGAGATCCGAGAACTTTGTCTTGGGGTCTGGATCAGAACCCCTGTCCGGTAACAGTGTGATAGAAACTGTTAGAGGGCAGAGGGCAGGCAGCCGTGGGTTCAAATTTCTTATGTCCCCACCTACCCTGGGCAAGTGATGTGACCTCTCTGAGCCCATTTCTTCATCCGAAAAGGGGGTGTTCATACCATCTGCCTTGCAGATTACCATGAGGATGGACAGTGAGATGCATGAAGTGCCTGGAATAGGACTCAACACATAAAAGGTGGGCAGATCGGATCCTCGGTGTGGATTTAGGCTTGATGACTTCTAGGTACCTAGGGGATATCATGTCCTGCTCTGGAGTTTGTATGAGAGGTCCAGACTCGAGATACAGACTTTGGAGTCACTGGCCTACACGTGAAACATGCAGACCCGGAGCACACATGCATGTGTCAGGGAGAGGTGGGTGTGGGGAGGAGAGGAGGTGCCCATGTGGAAGGCCGAGAGAGAGTGGTTGGAGAAGAAGAGGGAGACTTGGGCCTCCAGGGAGCAAAAACAGTTGGCTCTTGCAAAACCTAGAGTCAGAATTTATCACTCACATGAGAGAGACTTGTTTTTATTGTTATGTTAAAGAGGTTTTAAAGATGTATATTGATGTTCACTGATTCAAATTACAATGGCCATTTATCATTGGAGGCTTTACCCTGTGGGCTGTTCTTGTATAATTTTTTAAAGGGCATTGATCTCTCTACCACTTCTCCGGTTTCCCTTGTGATGTATTAGAGCTGCTGTATATCCTTGGAAGGTGCTAGGGCCTGTAAAAGGCTGGTGAAACGGTGCTCATGTTTTCTCTACTTGGCTGAAATAAACAAATTGTGTGCCTGTGTGTGCTGTTCCCATCTGCATGTGACCTTCGTTCAGTTGGGCTGATCATTGCAAGTCCAGATCTTGACCTTGGCCTACTCATTGCTAACACACGTCCAATTCCACCCCGTCTGTATGGTGTCCCCTGTGATCCTGGGCATAGCTGCGCTGTTTGTATACCTGAATTCTCTCCATATCGCCTTGGGTGGGAGGTGCTGCTCTGAGCTCCATTTCATAGATGAGGAAATGAATGGCCAGAAAGGTTGCATGGCGTGTCTGACAGGTGAGTTATGTGTTACATCGGGGCTTCCTGAAATGGCCCACTTGTCAGAATCCCTGGAGAAGCTTGGGTGCGTTGAGGATTCCTGGGCCTCAGGTGGTTAGTGCAGCTGACTTAGTGGCGGGTAAGATGTGGAAAGGACTGCCCCTCTCCACACCAGATCTTGGATATGTTGGTAGAAAAATAGCAATAATGACTTCCTGGTTATTCAGATTAGGGAAGTTTTCAAGCTCTTTTTGTAAAGAGCCAGAAGAAATACTTTTAGCTTTGCAGGCTGTATGGTCTGTTTCAGCTTCCTAACTGCGATACAGATATTCTTTGACTTATGATGAGGTTATATCCCGATAAGCCCATTGTAAGTTGAAAATATCGTAAGTTGAAAATGCATCTAAGACATTCCACCTACTGAACATCATAGCTCAGCCTAGTCTACCTTAAACCTATTCAGAACACTTACATTTGCCTATAGTTAGGCACAATCATCTAACACAAAGCCTATTTTATAATAAAGTGTTGAACAGCTCATGTAAAATATCATACTGCATATCAATAGCCTGGAAAAAAGGTCAAAATTTGAAGTGTGGTTTCTACTGAATGCTTATTGCTTTCATACCGTTATAAACTTGAAAAATTGCAAGAGAATTACCATCCTAAATGGGATACTGTTTATATTGCAAAAGCAACCAAAACAAATGAATGTGGCTGAATTTGCCCCATGGGCCATAGTTTGCCCACCCTGATCTAGACAGTTAGTGTTATGTAGACGATCAGAGAAGGGATTGAACTTGCTCTCCACGGGATGTTTGGACTTTTATAAGAATATATCACAAGGAGTTACGGTTCATTCAAGATATATAGGATGACAGCCAGGCACAGTGAGTCACACCTGTAATCCCAGCACTGGGAGAAGCCAAGGCAGGTGGATTACCTGAGGCCAGGAGTTCGAGACCAGCCTGGTCAACATGGCAAACCTCTGTCTCTACTAAGAAAACGAAAAAAAATTAGCTGGATGTGGTGGTAGGTACCTGTAGTCCTAGCTAGTCACAAAGCTGAGGCAGAATAATCACTTGAACCCGGTGGGAGGAGGTTGCAGTGAGTTGAGATCATGCCACTGCACTCTAGCCTGGGCAACAGAGTGAGACTCTATCTCAAAAAAAATAATAAATGAGTAAAGGACATGAAGAGACATTTCTCCAAGGAGAGAGAGAGAGAAAAAAAAAAAAAGAGAAAGAAAGAAAAGATGTATAGGATGAGAATTGCATTCAGCTGCTCAAAGACCCCTAAGACGTTAGCTTGAACAAATTAGAGATTAATATTTCTTGTTTGTTGAAAAAGCCTGGAGTAACTGATCTGATTGTAGGTGTCGTAATGTGACATCAGCAATAATGGGATGACACTATTGCTCCTAAGGTCATCAGATACCCTGGGGCTTCTGTAAACTTGATAGGCATTCTATTTCTCCATCTAACTCCATTGAAAACCTGTATCTATTTGTTAACTGAAATTTGATTTTAGTCTCTAATCCTTCTTCCTGTTCACAGAATAATGTGAGACATTCTTTGGTAGCTGTACTAGAGTACAGACACGTAATGTCTGTGTTTGGGGTTGATGGGTGGCTTTCATGTAGAGGCAGAATTTATCACATTAGAGATGCTTTACTTTTCATGGTCATAGAGGTTTCAAAGATGTGTATTGACATTCATGAAGTATAAATTACAATAGCCCTTTATCCTTGGGGACTTTTCTCTCTGGGCTGTTCTTAACTCAGGTGATTTAAAAAAGTGGATTGATCTGTTTCCTGCTTCTCTGTTTTTCCTTGTGATGAAGTTGCTACTTGCCCTTGGGAGGTGCTAAGGCCTGCAAAAAGCTGATGAAACCCCTCACATTTTGTATCCCCGGAGTATTCTCCGAGGAGTCACAACTTGATTAAAATAAGGAAATCCAATGTCCCAGTTACGCTTATCCCATCTGGCTGTGGCATTCTGTCTAGTGGGGCAGATCTCGCTCTGGCCCCCTCCCTCCTTTCTGAAACTGAATTCTTCCGTGTCCCTGTGGTGGTCAGTGCAGTCCCAGGCACCACCACATTGCTCTCCAAACCCCCTTCAGAGCAAGGCGCTGCTCTGAGCTCCATTTTACAGATGAGGAAACAAAAGAGACCAGAAAGGTTGCCTAGCCTGTCACCAGCAAGCTGTTAATGCTGCAGCACACATCACAGAAACATGAAAAATGCGTCTCTGCTATTCACTGGGCTGTGGATCTCTGTCGACGTTGGGAAAATATCATACAGTATGTTGTGTCAGTAACTTGCCTGATTCAGTCATTCTTTCCCGTACCCATCTGTTGAGCCAGCACCAGTGAGTCCCTACTATATGCCAGCATCTGGGCGTCAAGTGGTGTGTGACACAGATGTGACTCCTACTGGAGTTGGTTTTCGTGGGGAAAGCATTGCTGAAATCCTACTGCTTTATAATAAGGGTTTTAAGAAAAATGTACATTTTCCGTCTCTTTTTTGACAGGTCTACATCCGAATAAAAGACGACGAATGGAACATCTATCGGCGGTATACAGAGTTCAGAAGTTTGCACCACAAGTTACAGAACAAGTACCCTCAAGTGAGAGCCTACAACTTCCCACCCAAAAAGGCCATCGGAAACAAGGTACCACTCCATGCCAGGAAACTCGCTTGTCACTGCCTGCGTTAAAACAGATTATTCATTCTTCTTCTTTAGTCTACTACTTAAAAACACAGGCTCCTTTTTAAAAAGTTGGCAGATACAAGAAAAAATAGAAAAAAGAAGTAGCCGCTTATAATTCCACCACCTAAAGACAGTCACCATTACGTTGTGTGTGTGTATGTTCTGTTATGTCTTTATGGTGGAAATTGGAAAATTGTTTCTCTAAAGGGCCAGAGAGTAAGTATTTTTGGCTTTGGGAACTACCATTTCAGTGGCAGATACTCACCTTTGCTGGGGTTCTGTGTAAGCAGCCATAGACAGTATGGACACAGATGAGCTTGGCTGTGTGCCAGTAACATATTATTTTTAAGGATAGATAGTGGTCGGATTTGGCCTGTAGGTTAGTTTGCCAACCCCTGTTCTAGACCAAAAAATTCTCTTCTAGTTTTCACCCATAGTTGTCCTGGTGTTCACTTCGACTTGTGACTGTGGTGTATAACTTTCTGAGAGGAGTTTGTTGTTGCTGCTGTTGTTATATGGTTACTCGCCTCATGAAGGCCAATGATTTATGAATACCCAGTTTGTTTCTGTGTATTCCTCTGGGTACCCTTGAAGAAGGAGGGACTAGCCCTCTGCAAGCTCACTGGTTGATTAGTATTATTCACTCAGCAGTCATTAATTGAGCACCAATTGTATGTCATTGTGCAAGGGGCTGGGTCCAGCCCTGGAGAAGACAGGCCTGGGTCTAGACCTGGGTTGGAGCCCTGTCACGTGATCAGCTACAGCCAGGTGGCATCATTATGTCACTCCTCATGTTTGCTTAGGGAAGCAGTTCTCTGTCATGGCCGCACTTTGAAAACTACTGAGGGCTCCCTGTGCGCCATCTCCATCCCCATTCTGATTTAACTGATCTGTAGTGAGGCCTGGATATTGAGGGATTGAAGAGTTCTGTAAGTGATTGCACTCTGCGGCCAAACTGGAGAACCCTTGGCTTAGAGTCAAGAAGGAGACAGGGACACTTCATCAATTTCAATGTATGTTTGATAGCTTGGCAGGGACAGTCCAATCAGAGGAGGTGGAGCCATGACCTTTCTTACGACGTGTAAGACATTGGGTGTTGTATTGAGTGTGATCTCTCTACCATGGTCATTCTCAAAGTGTGGCCCCAGCCAGCCAGCAGCAGCAGCCCTGGGAGCTGGTTAGAAATGCACATTCTTGGTCTGACCCTAGACTTGCTGATTCACAAGCTGTGAGGCTGACACCCAGCAGTCTGGGTTTAATGAGCCCTCGGCAATGCTGTTCATGAGGAAGTGTGAGGACTGCCATTCTATCTTTTGACAAAGCCATGTGGCAGATGCTATATGGGATGAATCCCTAATTTCTGTCTTCAGGAGGTACCTTGCTAGGATTTCCTTTGACCTTTATCACAGAAACACAGAGCAACAGTTTCTATAACCCACTCCTGGCACTTGGGAATGTCATAGAGACATGTACTATTACGGACCCTTACGTTTACATGTGTATAGATTCCTGTGTATAAAACAGATTGAAATCTGATCCCTTCAAGGTCTGCTTAGTTTGAATGTAAACAGTTGCAAAGCATGTTTATCCCAGGCCCAGAATACATTTGTCCTTATTTTTCTGTTGAGGATAAGTAAAGCTGAATTCCTAGACACGGCAGACAGAAACTCTGTACTTGTTCATAGCAAGGAGTACAAGAATTATTTTGAAAAGGGGAAACAGTTGTATACTTGTTTGATCTAATGACCTGTAGGCTCATACAAATCTTGGGACTCATTCAGAATGTCTTAAATATCATAAAAGAGCGTGCTGCTAACCAGTATATTATCGTTATAAGACACTGTTACATGCAAGAAACACAATCCTGGCACAGCCCTTCCAGTGACAGCTTCTGGACTGATACTGTCTATATCTTGTGCTAAGGGAATGCTGTGGTAGCACAAGGTGGCAATGAGGGAATTTCCCCCCCATACCTAATCTTGCTCTGTGGCCCAGCTTGGAGTGCAGTGGTGAGATCTTGGCTCATTGCAGCCTCCACTTCCTGGGTTCAAGCAATTCTCCTGCCTCAGCCTCCCAAGTAGCTGGGACTACAGGCACCCACCACCACACCCAGCTAATTTTTGTATTTTTAGTAAAGACAGGGGTTTTCCATGTTGGCCAGTCTGGTCTCAAACTCCTGATCTCAAGTGATCTTCCTGCCTTGGCCTCCCAAAGGAGGGGCCATGCCTGGCCCTGCAATTGTCCTTTGATTCCTTCTTTCCTTTTCTCTGCATTTGGCTGGGACATACCTACTTCCCTTAAATCCCCCTTAGCTACTGCTCAGGGACAGAGCTGAGGGATTCTTCCAATTTCCAAGGGGGGATTGAGTCAAGATGCAGAACCTTCCAACAGAGGCCATTGGTGAATTCAGTTCAAGGCCAAGCTTATGCTGGCCCCAACAGGGCCTAATAGCTCAGGATACTTGCTTTGCTATCACAAAGGAAAAATTTCTGGAGTGCATTGATTCTGAATTGGTCCAGAAAAATCTGCCACATTATAATTCTTTCTTTGATTGGGTTACTTCAAGGATAACTCACTTGTCTGCTTGAACCGTTATGGTACACATCCAGACAAGATGTCTTTGGCTTGACTGAATTTTTTTCTTTTTTTTTTTTTGTTTTGTTTTTTTGTTTTTGTTTTTGTTTTTTTGAGACAGGGTCTTGCTCTGTCACCCAGGCCAGAGTTCTGTGGTGCAATTGTAGCTCACTGCAGCCTCAAACTCCTGGGTTCAAGTGACACGCCGTCCCTTGGGCTCCGCTTTCAAAATACTCACAGTTCACTTGTTTCCTGTATCCCTGCTTAAGTTATTCTCTCTTTTTTTCCTTTGAGACAGGGTCTCTGCTTGTCACCCAGGCTGGAGTGTAATGGTGTGATCATGGCTCTCTGCAGCCTCTAATTCCCCAGCTCCAGCCGTCCTTCCACCTCAACCTTCCAAAGTGCTGGAGTTACAGACATGAACCACTGCACATGGCCCATATTCAGCTTATTCTACCTCCAAGCCACTGTCACCACAGTGTGGACACCTGCAGTAGCTAGCCTTTTTCTCTTTTGCCCATCTGTAGCCTATTTTCCACACTTCAGCCAGAGTGAGATTTGTACAACATAAATCTGATTCTGTCAGCTGTAGATGAAGACCCTCCGGTGATACCCCTAGCATGTACAATGGGGACTCTTTACTGTGGCCTCAGAGGTATCTCCTGGTAGCTCCCTCACCTCCGTCTCCTACCTCACCTCAGGCCCTGCCCCCACCCTGTCCACTCAGTCCTAAGACATCCACATGGTTCTTACCTCAGGGCCTTTGCACCTGTCATGCCCTGTGCCTGGAATGGCTGTTCTGAGATTTCTGCATGGATGGCTCCTCGCATTCATTAGGTCTCAGTTCAGACTGGCCTTCCTTGGACAGAGGCCTTTCCTGACATTCCTCACTCATGCTGCCCTCAGTCACTCTTTGGCTCTTTCTTCTGCTTTAATTTTCTTCCCAATATATGCTATTGATGGAAATGACTTCTTCATGCCCTTCGGTATTACCTTTCTCTGCACCAGCATGGAGGCTCATGAACCAGGGCCAGAGTCTGTTTCTGTTCACTGCTCTGTCCCCAGCTCCTAGAATAGCACCTGACATACCAAGATACCCACAGCCTAAATTAATGAGCAAATGAACAGAAAATCAGTGGAAGAGTTTCCCTTTTATTTTCTTCTTCGCTTTGCTGGGTGTTGGCACACATTCAAAAAAATCTCAATTCCAAAAATGAGTACAGAAGCTTTCAAGGTGACTCGGGTGGCTGAATATTTTTGGCAGAGTAGGCGGGAGACCGAGCAGGCTTTTGGAGACAGGAAAGATGGCTCTCTAACGGTCTGAGGGAGTTGACCAGTGAGATTCCTTCCAAATGGGCTTTGGCAGCTTGAGGGCTTAGGTAAAGGACTTGTTTTTGATGATGTTACTAAAGTCTTCATTATGGCTCAGGGAGCAAATGAGAATGGAGAGACTGTCATTCCTTCTTAGGGTAATAGATTCCATCCCCAAAAGTTCATTTGGCATTAAGGCAAGGCAGATCACTTTCCCTGGAGCCACAGATAATTCAACTTGCTGGAGAAATTGTGCATTAAAATCCTCATTAAAAACACATACACCCGTGTGTGGTAGAGGAACCGACTGGTACTAGCTGAGATGTGGAAGCTTTTTAGGAGGTGCCATTGGAAACGCAGCCCTGGAGACGGCAGGGTGGGCACACAGATGGGAGCGAGTGGACCTCACGCAGGAACCAGAGTCAGATGTGCGCAGAGTGCAGGGGTGTCATGCTGGGTGCTGGGGCAACAGAGGCGAATTAAGGTTCAGTCCCTGTCCTTAAGAAGCTGGCAGTCTTGTAGGGAGGATGACAAGTCAATGAGTCCTCACAGAGGAGCCATGTGAGCTACAGGGAACCTGGTGCCATCTTCATACAGAGGAGAGAGAAGCAGAGAAGGCTTCATGCAGGAGGCAAAATGCTGGAGAGGCCATAGGGCTCCCAGCCAGAAAACTAGGAGAGGGAGCAGATGAGCCAGCAGAATCAGTGCAAGGCATCCTTTCTTTCTGTACATCCCAGATCAGTTTCCTATGCTTACAATAGCACACATTTATTCTCATACAGTTCAGGAGGCCAGAAGTTCCAGATGAGCCTCACCAGGTCAAAATCAAAGCATTAGCGAGAGTGTATTTCTTTCTAGAGACTCCAGGGGAGAATCCTTCTCCTGGCCTTTTCCAGCTTAGAGGCCGCCTGCATTTCTTGGCTCATGGCCCCTTCCTCCATCTTCCATGTTACCTCTCTCCCACCATTCTTCTCTTGTCAGATCTTCCCCTGACCACAGCAGGGAAAGGTTCTCTACTTTTAAGGAATATGATTAGATTGGGCCCACCCTGATTATCCAGGGTAATCGCTCCATCT